TCAGCAGTTGTGAAAGATCATAGCAACTGTTGCCCGTAGGTTTAGAATACGGACTCCAGTTTTCCTGAATTTCAAAGGGGGTGTTCTTCGTATTTTAATTAGAGTAAATAGTGATGGCTGTTAAAGAAGAGAATATGGATATATGTACATCATAGCTTATTTCTGTATCAAGAGGAGGTTGAAGTTTTGCATTAATTGACATTATTCTTTTGCCTTTCTGGGTTCAGGACATAAGGTGACATTTACATGTTCACTGCATCAATGAGTGTTTTAGGCAGTTCCGCATCGAAGTACTAGGTGGCAGCCCAGCACTACCTTTGGGCATTTGGAACTCCTATGAGGTCCTCCAAATGACATTTTAGAGCAGATTTTTAGCAACACTTTAAAAAAGAATCACTTCAGCAGAAGCTTTACAAAAGAAGTAAATGATGATGTTGACACATTTGTAAACTGCCTTCCCCCAAACTATATTTTTAATCAAAAATCACACATGCAATTGAATGAGATATTAAAAACTTAAGCTTTCACGGAAAAATAAACACAGGACATAAATAGATATTTCACAGGAGAAGAAACACAACTGGCAATGCACACATACAAGATAGCTAGACTCTACTAAGAAGATAAATTCAAGTCACATGAGAACATTTTTATTACCACTCAATTTGACAGAATTATTTTCAAAATTTTTAGCCTGAAGAAAAATTTAGAGATGTGGTCAGAGCTTTCTGCATAAGCATTTTCCTTGATGTTTAATTTATGACAGTATAAAGACATTCATGGTTATGAGATGGCTATTTCTTCTGATGGAATATTTTGCATTCTTAATTGATAGCACTTTATGTTTTAGTTAGCTTCTGTCAAAATTATGTTACTCATAGCCACTTAGTGTAAAATTCGACGCACATAATATGTAAAAACACACAGAGAAAATGCATAGGTTAATCTTCAGTGGAGACATAGAGTTTACTCTGTAGATTTTTGTGCCTTGAGGACAATTAACTGTATCTAATTTTTCACAGCGTGGTCAATGGGTTGAGAGAGAGTGGTAGAACTTCAACCACAGGAAACAATGTTGATCTCACTTGACTGCTGCTGGGTAACTACACTGCTGGAGTAGCCCAGGGATGGACCTTGTTTTCTAGAATCAAATGAGTGTGTGTAGGTTTTGTGCTTACACTCAGTGCTGCTGTAAGCACGTTGATCACCTTGGCAACTAATGAAGGAATAATTCTAGTAGACAAGAAACTCAAATCTCTGTCTTGAATGATTGGAACATATCTGCAACTGTAAATATTTAACTGCATTGACAAATACATTAACCTGCATTTAATTTCCTTATTAACACACTCTTGCCTCTGCAGCGTGCTGTTTCTTTTGTCAAAAGCAAGAGGTTGTAACTGCTTGGTTTATTTGGTTTAGGTAATGATATGGAATAAACAAGACTAAGAAAAAAAAAATCAACTGGATCGTCTGTGTCCAAGAGGTTGCTTGTTCATTCTGCTGGAAAAATACAAACCGAATGTTTCATTTCTTGACTCACTTAATTTCTTGATTCAATTGTCTGCTCTCTTCATTGTGAGGAGAACAGAAAATAGAAAAGAAACTTTGGACAATGTCGACAGGAACACTGGAATATAAAGTAGGAGTGCAAAATTCAATATGAAAGACTTTTCCAAAGATCTTAACTTTTGATGAACATATTTATTTTTAAGTTATTTATTTATTTGAAAGGCAGTTTATGAGAGATGGATCAGAGAGAGAGAGCAAGAGAAAGAGAGAGTGTTCTTTCACCTCTGGTTCATTCCCCAAAAGGCCTCAACAGCTAGAGCAGAGCTGCTTGAGGGTCAGGAGTAAGGAGCTTCATGCGGGTCTGTACACAGGTGTCAGGAGTCCACACACCTGAACCAACTTTCACTGTTTTTCTAGGCACATTACAGGAAGCTGGATGGAAAGTGGAGTAGCTGGGACACAAACCTGGCATGCCGGCACTGCATGCGGAGGTTTTGCTTGCTACACCACAGCACCTGCTTAAAAATCCCGATTCTTCAATTTCACATACCTTCAGTGGAACTTTTTGGAAAGCTGATTGGAAGGTAAGTTTTCTGTGTCTCTCAGCAATTTGTCTGAACAACAGAAAGCTACTTCAGTGACTGCTTGAAAGCATTTTTTTTTTCATATTTCACACTTTGACAAAGAAACAGATTGTGAGATCTCTAAATTCTTTCTTATAATCTCACAATGATTAGGAAAACATATCATTAACTATGAGAATGTTTTGTCTGTGTTCATTGATTATTGGGTGTAGCCAATCTCCTGGCTGCTAGTTTGCCCTTGAGGTTCTATTCTTTTGTATTAAAATCAACTATTGTTGACCTGTTATTATGATTTCCATGGGGAATCATACAATAATCAAGAGTGGAAGAAACAGTGGTGATTTTCCCCGAGAGTCCCCTCATTTCACAGATAAGCTTGAACATCTGAGTGGTTTTTCTAGTTTAGGTCAAACCCTTTCTAATGAGCCTAATGAAAGGACAGGTTTTTATTACAATGAAGCACAAGACAGGCATATGTTATTATTCATTATTATAAAAATGTATCTGTTTAACAAAATGTTTAGTTTGTCCCTCATTATAGGATGAGTAAGGCAGGAAATGAGAAGTGTATGAGTTTTACAAAATGTAGTTTGGGGAATAATCTGCAATTTCTGGAGGGTGGATATTTGTATTTCTTTTACAATTTTAAGAGCAACATAAAGATTTCTCAATGATTCAGTTTTGTGATGCTCAATACTATAGCTACTAGTTTAATGATGCTGATACAGGGCAAATGATCATTTGCAATATGGCTAGCCTCAATTGGAATATACAGTGGTGCAGAACATCATCTGAAGTTTTGTATTATGAAAACATATAATGCACCTTGATGATACTTTTATTATATTTTATAATCAACAGGTTGAATACATATTGAAATGATGACAGTTTGGACATACTAGCTTAAAGAAATGTTGTTAGAATTAATATTAATTCTTGAAATTTGTATCACCTACTTATTCTTCCACTTTTTAACATTGCTACCCTAACGTTTATGACTATACTCACAGTATTTTGCTTTCGGTGGACAGTGCTTATTTTGACTAATAGTATGTATTTTTATTCTTTTAGAAAATATTTTTGAATGTAAAAATTATACAGAGAGTAGAAGAGACACAGGGAGATTGTCCACCTGCTTGCTGACCCAGATGGCTGCCATGGCCAGCGTGGGGCTAGGCTGAAGTCATGAACCAGGACTTTCCTTTTGGTCCATCAATTGGCTGCAGGGGCACAACCGTTGGGTCACCTTCATCTGCTTTTATCAGATCATTTGTAGGGAGCTGGATCAAAACTGGAGCAGCAGGAACATTAACTGTAGCCTATATGGAATGGTGGTTTCGCAAATGGTAAACTTACTTGCCGTGCCACAACACCTCTAGTCTATGGATATATTGCAAAACAAACCCCAAATTTACAATTCTTTGTATGAACATAGTTATTTGCACACCATAGCTTCTCATCAATATTCACATGACTTTTTATTTTATTAAGACTATGTAACATAGTATCAACGCAAAAATTGTGGACCAAAAGAATCGCATTTGGCATTTGCCAGCTTTATGTATTTTTTGTAATTCCATGCAGTATTTTGTAGCTCATAAATTTCCTAATTGCTTTAAACTTAATAAGCATTATCAATCAGCACCAAGAAATAGAGCTAGATGACAAATGTTAAGCAAAATTATAAATTCTTGTAGTATTTCATGCAGTGGAATTTCATCTTCAGGAACAGCACTTTTTCCTAAATGAGCCACTTATGAAACATTCAGAGCCATAGCTAAGCAAACCCATTAGACACTACTTGGTAATCTGTCTGCAAATTCTTCTTAAATTATAGGGGAGAAAAGTGCATTTATGTATTGGGACACAGAGGAATTTAGGACTTAAGGTAGGGTCTCACCCTCTCAATGCTTGTTGGCATTTTCTTTAAAGTCCATGTTTTTCCCTTTAAAAAATTATGAGACTATTGCACTTTTCTCCATGGTGTGTCTGCTTTTGTTTCAGTATAAAACTATCACAGTATTCTCCAAATACTCAAATAAGGTGCATATTCTATCCTTGTTTCTGAGGCTTTTTGTGCCTCTGATGTACTGATACTCTGAGAAGCACTGGCGCCAAGTTCTGAGAAATACAGAATTAGAACTGATGTCCAGAGCCTTAGAATCTTCTAGAAATCTTTGTGAGGCTGTAACAATGATTGGCTAAGCAGTGAGTTGTACAGCAGCAGCAGCTGGTGGGGAAAGAATGGAGGAGCCCTTCTCCAAGATGAGATAGTACAGAATGAAATGAAAAAACCAAAGGCTGTGAGTAAAGCACAAAGGTAGCCCAAGGCTTGTATTGATTGACACAACAAATTGATAGGTAAAGATTGTCTCTACCCACTTTTTACTTTTTATTTCCTTTTGAAATTTTATTTTTCCTGATACAGTTCCCTAGGCTCAGGGATTTCTCCTTCCACTCTCCTCAATTGCCCTTCCCTCAACTGTTTTCCCCCCTATTATAACAACACTATACTCCTTAAACAACAGTCACAAGCCCATCATTCTGTTAGTATACACAGTGGTAGAAAGTCCAGCATCTATTGTCAAAATACATTTAACAGTTTCATTGGGAGTCCCTCTTTCATTTGGGAGTAGAGGCGGATGCTGTAATATTTGTTTTACTCTCCAGTATGCTGGTCTTCATTGTACAGTTCTTCCAAATGAATTTATATAAATATATCGTTACCTACATATCAAATTATCTTGCATTTTACATGAAGTTTGTCTTACATCAGGGAGAACATATGATATTCATTCTTTGTGGATTCGCTTATTTCACTGAGCATAATGGTCTCTAGCTGGGACCATTTGGTTACAAAAGGCAGAATTTCATCTTTTTTAATGACTGAGTAGTATTCCACACCGTAGATGTACCATATCTTCTTTATTCCTTTTTTGATGAGTATTAGGTTGTTTCCATGTTTTTGCTACTGAAGATAGGGTCATTGTTAATGTAGGATTACAGCTTACTTTCTCATACGCAGACATCATTTCTTTTGGTTATATCCCCAGAAGTGGGGAAGCTGGGTCGTAAATTGGGTTAATGTTCAGTTCAGTCTCCATTCTGAGTTCCATAGTGTTTGTACTAGCCTACACTCCTACCAACATGAAGTAGGGCACCTTTCTGTCCACATCCACACCAACAAATGTGCTTGCGTATGAACTTGTCTCTGGGTCATTTTAATTCCTTAAAGAGTTTACTGATACATAAAAACTGCATTTTGTTGTACTACCTGATGATGTTTTGATATCTGTTCACATTGCATACATTTTGAATCCAGGTAAGTATCTATCTCTCTATTTCATGTTTATAGTTTCTTTAGAGTAAAAAAGAAAAAGAATATTTTCTTATATTATCTCAAAGAAATCCAATACACCATCACTAATGATGGTCACCCATCACTCCAGCACACCAGGACTTCTTTCTCCTATATCAGTGTAACTTTGAGCCTATTCGTCACTCCTGCCTATATTTCTATGCAATCAGTTTAAAATAGCGCTTGGAATACACATGCCTCTATTGAATTTGGGGGAAGGTAAAGACAAAATATCACTTCCATCATCATCATCATCATCATCATCATCATCATCATCCATAGCCATGATCTCTTACCTAAATCTATTTAAAAATGACCTGGCCCATCATTCTTGGTGTGTCACAGAAGATGCTCCTTTGCTGGATTGTTCAATCTCCCCCTTAGCCTCGTAGGTAGAAACTGATTACAACCTTGGGCAAGCTGAGTCTCCCAGAGGTTAAGAGATTTCCTGTAGGGATTAAGAGCTTCTGTTCCTATCACACATCGCCGCTCCTGCAACAGGTGTAGAAACCTTCTCAACTTGATTTTGTGATTTTTAGTGTTTCTCACATTATAGGCACTGAGCTAAGACTAAGAAAAGATGACTATGATGTGCTCCCCGCTGGCTCGCAAACCACAACTTCTTCGTGAAATGGCACGCCAAGCAGCGTGGAAGAAGGATAGCAAAATGCAATTACTTTCTTGCAGCAATTCATCAGGAGTTGCCCAAAGTTAAACATTTCTTACTTCACATTAGCAGATGGTGAGCAAGGCAACAATGTCTGCACAAAAACAAAACAGAAGTAATAAAATGAATTGGCACTTGAAAAGAAAAGATGAACCACCATTCCTGCAGGTCTTTTGTCTCAATCATTCAGTAGAATGAAAAAAAAAATTCACTTCATAAATCAGTCAAAGCTGGTCTCATTCTGCCATTCACAGAACATGGAATTACTTGCTTTGGCTGATAAATGAATGTCTTCACTGGAGTTCTGTCACCAAGGCTTATATAACTTACAGCGCAATTATTACTTATGTTCCAGAAAGAACTTATTTATTTTAGCTTGTATCATCTTTTCATGCTTGAAACGTGTCCTTTATGTATTTGCTTTTGAAAACTGGAGTAAATGACATTATAGAAATAAATTCTTCTATTACTGTAACTGAAATACAATTTGGAAAATGGGTAATACGAAGCAATGTGCTGATTCTTTTCACTTTATCACTGGAAGCCAGAACCAAGAACCATAGTAGTGGTATTTTCATAAAATTTAAGACTACTCTTCCACATACGATGCACCTGCTTTCAGATATGTATACATAGGAAATGAAATCACCGTATGGAAGAGATGCTTTCACTCCCATGTTTACTGCAACATATTCACAAAAATAAGGTATCAGTCTATGTATCTGTTGATGCATGAATGGATAAGGAAAATGTGATATATATACATATATATACATGTATATGTATATGCACAAAGGAATAATATTCAATCATGAAAACGAATGAAATCCTAATATTTGCATCAAAATGGATGGAACTCAAGATCATTAAGTAAAATAAGCCTAATTAAAAGAAGAACTCTCACATCAAAAGTAAAAATATACTTAATGTAGTCTTATAACAATGATTACTAGAGGGTGAGAATGGTAAGGAGAAGGAAGGAAGTTGATTGGGTACAAAAACATAGTCAGCTGGTACACTGTTGAGTACAATGAACGATAATGTAGTACAGAATCTGTAATGAACTGCAAAAGAGGAACCAGTAGATTCAGACACACGGAAAAGGTAAGAAAATGGAAAAGTTTGCTATCTGACTTTATTGGATTATGATGTGTTGAAATACTGCACTGCGCTTCACAATGAGTATAAATATAATATGTCAAAGTTTTCTAAAGTGAGGAGTTGATGAATGGTACAGTGGAGCTAAACTGCCAACTGTGACACCAGCATCCCCTAATGCAATGCCCATTTGAATCCCAGCTGCTTGGCCTCTGATCTAGCTTCCTGCTAACCTGCTGGAATAGCAACAGAAGAAGATGACCTGTGCATCGACTTACATGCATGTGGGATACTCAGATTTCCAGACCCCTGGCTCTAGGCTGGCTCAGTGCAGTCATTATGGCCAGTTGGGGAGTGAACTGGCAGATGAAAGATTTCTTTGTCTTTCTTTCTCTTTCTTTGTGTGTGTATGCCACTCTACCTTTCAAATAAATAAGTCTTAAAAATAATTTCTAACCAAATAACTTGAGAAATTATGGTTGACCCAAAGAAGTTCCAAAACCAGAGTGTATATTGAAATCTTAAGTTAATTAATAGCCAATAGATTGATTCATTATATTTTAGTTGTCATGGTCCAAAAAAGTTAGACACTATATATTATATATATATACATATATATATACACACATATATATGTAAACTTATTCAAAAGCCAGAGTCACAGAAAGACAAGAAGAGACACTTCTATCTTCTATCAATTCTCCCCTGCCACCCAAACACAATGGCTGCAAAATAAGGTCTGGGTTAGACCAAACTCAGGAGCCAGAAACACTTTCAGGTCTCCCATGTGGGTGGCATTTCCAGATGCATTAGCAAGAAGCTGAGTGGGAAGTGGAAATAGACAGGACTCCAACTAGTAATCCATTATGGGATGCTTACAGCATTATAACCTACCACACACAACCCCAACCCCACAATTTACCTACATATAAAAAAATGCAGTTGGTCCCAGCGTGATAGTCTTGTGGCTAAATTCTTGCCTTGCAACCCTAGCATCCCATATGGGCAGTTCATATCCCAACTGTTTCACTTCGCTTTCAGTTGCCTATTTGTGGCCTGAGAAGGAAGTCAAGGATGGCCCAGAGTCTTGAGACTCTGTACCCATGTGGGAGACCCTGTACCCACATGGTAGACCCTGTACCCACATGGCAGACCCTGAACAAGTTCCTGGCTGCTGGCTATGGATCAGCTCAGCTCTGATCATTGTGGACACTTTGGGGAGTGAATCAGCAGCCAGATGATCTTTCTCTTGGTATCTACTTCTCTCTGTAAATCTGCCTTTCAATAAAAAAATCCACAGTCATACATATATGTGCATGGATAAAACACACATTTACATTCATACATGTGTGCACAGAGACATACACATAAAGGCTTATTAAAGAAAAACCAAATTCTGTTTGAATGTTCTTGAAGGACAAATACTTGAGTCTCCAATTTTGCTCTGTGCATCCCATAATCTCCATTAATAACTCTGGAAAGAGGGCAGAGTGTTTGCCACAGTACGTAACCTGATAATAGTGCACAACTCCAAGTCATTTTCTAGGACTCCCGAGGGATTTTACCGAAAGTTGAAAATTAATCTATAAGCCATTTAACTTTACTATGTACACTGTGAATCTTTAGTAGCTTATGTCTGCGTTTTGAATTGAAACTAGAACGATAAGTTTTCATTGGGTAATCATTCCATTTTTGACATGCAACCTGGGATTTCGCAATACATATATCTAATTCTTGAAATCAACAATAAATTTTGTGAATGATCACCACATGTCAATACCTATTTGGCTTATAGTCAAGAAAGCAGAATTACAACCAGTAGAAACAAGAATTTTTTGATGCTTCAGCACATAAATAATACTTCCTACACATTTCAACAGAAATACACTGTTTTTTTTTTCAAAGTATATAGAGTTCTTCGGTAAAATTTAGGATTTTTCTTATCTTGCTTCATTTGAAATTACGTTGTATTGCAGAAAGTTACTCTCACAGTTATTCTACCCAGTTCCCCATATTTCTAAGAGGCTGTCTTAGGAAGAAGAAATTTGGTCCAGCCATCTATCTACTGCCCTCAGACCATGTTCCACCTGCCCAGCACAGCTACTTCTCTTAGAGGTTTATTTGCATTTCCTCTCCCACCAATTCTTGACAAATTTGATGAATTTCAGGGAGCAACTAAAGGAACAGAGGGGGAAATTGCTGCTGCTTTTTTTGGTGAACTTGGCTGACCTATGTCATACTCATCTTGAACATTCGTACAAGCTGTGGTCACTTCTTTGCTTTGGCCTCCCCTTTTGTTTTTATTTTTTTCTCTCCTTTATATTTCTATGAAAAGTAATGTTATGGAAACGTCACTTGAAAAGGTGAGTGTCAGATACAAATTATGATACATGGTTTGACTCTCTTTGAATTATATGTTCTATATATTGTTTGATTTTTCCCATTTATTTCAATTTTTTTAAAGCTGTTTCACAGACTAGCTCTTCTCTTCCAGGCTGTATTGTTGCCTCGTTCCTCCTGCCCCTCTGATCTTGCTCTGATTGTCTTACCTGGCATCACAGGCATTGTACAAGTCTAGAATCAGACTGGGAAGAAGAAAACTGCTTGGTGGAGGTGGAGAATGGAGAAACAGAAAGCTGATTGGATAAACAAAGGCTTTAGGTATATGGGGTAGGACTGTAGGTGAAGTTCGCGGCATTGGTATGTTAGCTTTTGTGCTACTGCACCTAAGTTGAGACATAAACTTTTCTTTTGTCCATTTAGATCTCTGTTTTTTCACTATTAAATTTTCCATCTTACTTTTTATTCCAGAATTGCAAGTTGTAGCTTCAATTTCCCACAAAGAAAATTTAAGCAGGAATACTGAAGACTATCTCTCTATGTTTATATCAATTTTTAAAAAGATTTATCTATTTTTATCTGAAAGTCAGATTTACAGAGAGAAGGAGATGCAGAGAGAAATAGCTTCCATTTGCTGATTCACACCCCAAGTGGCTGCAATGGTTGGAGCTCAGCTCATGCAAAGCCAGGAGCCAGGAACTTGTTCAGGGTTTCCCATATGGGTGTAGGATCCCAAGGTTTGGACCATCCTAGACTGCTTTCATAGGCCACCAGCAGGGAGCTAGATGGGAAGTGGAGCAGGTAGGGCATGAACCAGTGCCCATATGGGATGGCCAAAAGGATTTAGCTATTGAGCTGTTGCTCTGAGACCCTGTTCCATGAATATTACACAATGAGAGGTAAGATGAAGTAACATTTTTAGAAGCTCTATTCAGGCCCATGAATGTTACTTTTATAAGCATAAGGTTAAAAATCTTCCAAAAATGAGGCTCCTTAAGACTTAAACATTTCTGAAACTACACTTAAGATAAAATACAGCCATATACAAAGAAATTAAAATAGGACATGAATACATTTCTCAAATGGAAAATTTACAAATTTTATAAAATCTGAGAAACTATTAAAATAAAATGTCTCTCATGATTTGAGACACAGATGTACACACATATCACATGCTTCACTTATGACTTTTATGTTATATGGTTTGCAAGAATTTTTGATACTGAATTAAAAATATAACTTAGAATTATTACTTCATTCTGTGCACAAATCAAAAGGGAAATAAAGAAAAAGTATCTGAGGCATGCGTAAAATGTGTTCATTTCCAGATTCTGATATTCTGGTATCACGTTTGGGCCAGAGTGCTGGAATTTGGGATTTTCCATGCACCGCCGTTCCTCATGCCAACCAGACTGCTGACCATACAAAAATATTTTGGAAGAGTGCTCCAGTGTTGTTGGGATTGCGTCTGCTGCTTATTTGCAAACTTTGATGCCTGTGCTTACTTGATTGGTCCAGAAGGTATCCGCAAACTATTTTCACATAATAACCTGGCTTCCATTCATTTCTAAAATGGACCTGCAATGGTTTGCTGACTGAGAGACTGACTGAGAGAGTGTGACTATCTCGTATGACCAGAAATGACACCTGAGTTCA